TTGATTACCTGTGTGTCTATGTTGCTACATGTTCACCACTGCACAGAACAACACTGATCACAGCATATTAAAGTTGCTGTCAATTGTAGGTCATAAAGGTTACACACAAAAATTAATAACAATAAAACCGTTAATTCAACTATGAAAAGATCTACCTCTCCAGGTATATAGCACAATAATTTATATTTAGGTCCAAAATATCTTAATAACTCATCTGTGTACATGAAGTACGTCCACCACTGGTGCCCAGCAGTTTTTAAATCTTGTATTGCTGTTGATATGACACAGTGCTGTACAGAGAGTTTATGGATTTCGTCTGGACTCGTCTCCGTGGTGGGACATTTACATTAACATCATAATCACAGCAGTGAATTTTAAATGACCAACAGGTTTATGTCACAGTGGAGTTTAAATGATAAATATTTATACTCTACATTACGCAGTACGTGCAAATAAATACCACAACACCAGTACTGTATATTATAATAAATCTACTTAAGATCAAGTAAAAACTTGACACATAGTTTCAAAGTCCCTGGTTTTGATTTTTTTCTAACACTTAATGGCATTTATATTAAACCCTCTGGTCTGGTCTTGATATCAATCAAAATAATGACTCTGCGTCCCGTCTTTGCTTTCCTCCTTCTTACCTGGGGCCAGTGTTGAGTGTCCTAATTTTCTATGATAAGTTTCACATTTTAAATAGTTTCTCTAGAAACATTTTTTGTTTTGTTTTATAGCTTTGCCAAGATGTAGAAATGAGTATCTTGGTATGAGATGATAACGGTGTGTTTTTGGTGTGTGTGTACATTGGTCGTCCATCTTGGTATTTCTTGTATAACACACACTTCTAGTTGGTTGAAGAGTGGCATTATTAGGCAGCCCTTATGTAAGGAGGCTTATGCAAGCAGCTGTCTTGGTGCTGGCCTTCTTTATCATTTGTAGGGTTTTCTACTTGTCTCACTCTCTGTGTCCCTTCCTCTCTCTCTCTCTCCCTCTCTCTAATCCTCCCTCTATCAGCGAAGCTTTCAGGCAGTAACTACATGATGGAAGTAGGACATCTTCCATTTCTGTACCAAAGAACAAATTATACCACGAAAGCCACAACTTTCATGTCCTGTGCTTTAATTTTTCCACAGTAAGAAAAATGGGGTCAATATCACGAATGTTGAAACCAGGTATGATGTAGCTTCAGTTGGGCTGGATTGTTGCTACACATTTGAAGTTGCGTCTGTGATCTTGGTTTTTTTTATTATATATTATTAAAGGTCTCATTTCTCACTTTTTTGACAAAAATAATGACCCCCAAACTTTTTTCTGCAGAGCCCGCCCATGTACATAGGACTAGTGCCCCTATTGAAACTTTCCCAGCTATTGCTTAAAGTTTCTCTAAACTGATTTACTGTAATCCCAATAAACCGCTACTTCCACGGTACAAAGGAAATAAAATTACAAATATGTGCAATTTCTCCATACGGCACAAATAGTGCCACCCAGTGGGTCAGACCCTCCACTTTGGAAACTACTGCTCTTGTTGTATTGAAGATAGTCAGTAGACATGGACTGCGGGTGGCATATGTAGAGTTTCATTGTAGCAGTAGCTTACCTTTCAGAGACAAATGCTCCAATCACAGACTCAGCTTTATTTAACAACAAGACCAGATGTTACCAGAGTGTGGCATTGTAGCCATAGTGTGTGATGGCTCCACTGTCCTGCCTGTGATCTAGATCTGACCCTTAATGAAGATTTATGGAACATCAAGAAGAGTAGAATCTGGGCACAGTGATCACACCCTGTTGAGCAGCTGAGGTCGGTTTTCACCGTCCAGAAGGACGGAATGACACAAGGCTGTGGGATCTTGTTATTAAACTGTATAACTTATTTGTCGTATTCCACTAACCAAACCTCCCTGAATAGATCAAGAACTCTTTCTTTTCACAGTTCTCCTTTAGCTTAGAGAAAAGGCTGGATTTCTAACAACACTGAGAGAACATCAAGTCAAACTTTCAGCCCTGTTTTCAGGCAGATGTTAAAAGAACATCATCTTTAGCACCATAACATTTCGTAACATTTCCCTCACAGTAGCCTCATCTGTTTTTGCTCCTCTCTCTGGTTCAGATTAACGTCTTTTTTTCATTTTCTTACTCCAGAACTTTAAGGATACCCACCCCCTCCTCGGTCATGGGGGTGTTTTCAGGACACCAGACAGTCCAGACTTCTCCCCTCCCCCGCCCTCTTCATATTGTTTCCATATTCAACTGCATTTAAATTGCTCCTCGTTCTGGACAGCCCACTCAGAAGTAATGCTGACACAAAGTCTTTGCTTGGTTAATCGGAATCTTCAGCCTGTTGTTGGAAGTTTCCTAAGGTAAGATGATACTGTGGTAAAAGGGGAAATACGGTTTGTTTTTTATTATTATTTCTGGGGGTCCGTGCGTAGTGAATAGTGTGTGCATGTTGTTAAAACAAAAGCAGACAGGGCTGCCGTTTGATCATCCCATAGACGATATGTGATATGTTAACCTCAGGAAAGATGGTGGTAACTGTGGTAACAGCAGTTATGGTTCTCCAGCCTGGTTCATGTATTTATTTAGAGAATGTGTAACTGTAGAAGAGACAGGGACCAGTTTGTTCTGTACGTTTGACGACAATCAAAATGATCTGAACAGTGACTTGTTTCTTTTAGACTAGTTTTTAACTTTCCCATAACTTAATGCAAGCAAGTAGCTCTTCATGAACCTTACACAACTGAAGCTTTTCATTATTTTCAATGCCTCAGGGAATAGTTAAAAAAAACAAAAAAGGATAAAAAACGATAAAACGCTAGTTGCCGTTTTCTTGTACAAGGTTGGAGAATTAGTAGCCTTTCTGACTCTAAAGATCCTTTAGAGTTAAAAAAAAACGTTTTCTAGCATTTTTGACAATAAATGATTTATACTGATATTATTCAGAGTTTTAAAAGAAATTAATCTATAACCTACTCTGTTCACCAGCTTTAAATTTATAGCTATAAACTAATATTATAAAATGTGTGTGTGTATATATATATATATCAAAACCATAATGGTGTGTATTTTACAGATGTTCCTTTAATGTCCATTAAGTCGGTTCCATCATGAGAGAAAATGTTTTAGAAAAGTGTTTAACCCACTCTGTGTCTAAAAGAAGCCAAGACGCAGTGTTGTGTTTGTTATATAACAGTCATTTACATGACTAAAGTTACCTAAAGTGTCTGACCTGCTTTCCTCTGCCATATACTGTTACCCAGAGTGCCGTTCATCCATGACCGCTGTGATCATTTGATCTGGCCTGTTTGGTTTGGAATGGCTAACTTAAAACTGATACATAAAACTGACACACTAGTGTTGGTTGTAAAAAAAGACTAAAGATTTCACAGTCAGAATGGGCAGCAACCACACTGTGGCATGTAAGGTTACATAACCATATCACTGATCCAAGTACTGCTTGTGCTCGTTTTCTGTTTATGGTTGAGCACTTTCCCTGTGGTCCAATACTGTGTCAGTGATTCTGATACTTTTAAGAGAGTTATGTGTTAAGTACAAGAATTTAAAACTAAAGAAAGTTTTTTTTTTTTTTTTTTTTTTTTAATGTGAGACTGCTGTTGTAGCCGACAGTTTATAAACTGACTGGGCAGTTTATAAATGTTTTGTAAAAGTTCATAAAATTACTGTTCATTATTAAAACATTATATTAATATAACATTGTTATACTTTATGCAACTTTTTTTGATGATCATATCTGAGCTCTAATAACATTTAAAGGAACCCTCCCCTCTCTTGAGAGGATTCTTGACAGTGAGGGCCCTTGTTCTGGATTTAGCCACAAATGTCATTCCATTCGCGATGAATACAGTGTTGTGTACAACCTCACTGCCATCTTGTACTACACTATGCAGTATTCAATTGATTTACAGGTGAGTAGCAAATGACATTTCCCTGAGGTTCCTTCTGGGTATCGGGGAAGACCAGCGAGTTTCAGTTTGGCTCTGAGTTCTTGGTTGCTGTTGTTGAGACGAGCAACAAGTCCACGGAGCTGAACACTGTGAGATTTACAGCTCTTGTAAAACTGCCCCATCGGACCAATGATTCCAGCTGGCTGCAGCTACTGTACCTGTTGTGTAATCCACTGCTTAACATTATGCAAGGTGAACTGGCAGGCGATAAAAAGAAAGCCCTGCCGTGATCGCCCTGCTCACAATATATAAAGCCTTTGATTTGTAAGTAGTGAAACCACAGAGGCTACAATTACCAAAGTTTGGCCATGATTTACATGATTTAATGTAGCTGTTATTACAGAACTATTCTTATTGTCCTGGTCTGCATGTCTTCGTAGCTGTTTTAAATAATCGTCACGGACATAGTTACATAAGTGACCTAATTTCACTGATATATCATGAAAGGAACAAAACTTTGCTTTTACGACACCATGCTGATAATGAAGGCCATGCTGGTAGCCTTTTACTTTATGATCATTTTCTCTCAGCCTGTGTGAGTCATGTTATGTTCCTGCTGCTGCTGCTGCTGTTGCTGCTGCTGTTGCTGCTGCTGTTACTGCTGCTGTTACTGCTGCTGTTACTGCTGCTGTTACTGTTACTGCTGCTG